CTGGGACCTTCTAGGATGTTCTGGGGACCTTCTGGGCACCTTGAGGACCTCCAGGTGACCTTGAGGAACCTGTGGTGATCCTGAGGTGACCTTGAGGAACTTGAGGCCACCTTGAGGACCTCCAGGTGACCTCGAGGACCTCCAGGGCACCTCGAGGACCCTCAGGTGACCTCGAGGACCTCCAGGTGACCTCGAGGGTTCCTCAGGTGACCATGAGAACCTCCAGGTGACCTTGAGGAACCTCAGGTGATCTCGAGGACCTCCAGGGCACCTCGAGGAACCTCAGGTGACCTCAAGGGTTCCTCAGATGACCTTGAGGACCACCAGGGCACCTTGAGGAACCTCTGGTGACCTTGAGGCCACCTCGAGGACCTCCAGGTGACCTCGAGGAAATTCAGATGACCTCGAGGACCTCCAGGTGACCTTGAGGACCTCCAGGGCACCTCAAGGGTTCCTCAGATGACCTTGAGGTCCTTGACGGCACCTTGAGGACCTCCAGGTGACCTTGAGGAGCTTTAAGTGACCTTGAGGTGACCTCGAGGACCTCCAGGTGACCTCGAGGAACCTCTGGTGACTTCAAGGGTTCCTCAGATGACCTTGAGGACCACCAGGTGACCTTGAGGAACCTCAGGTGATCTCGAGGACCTCCAGGTGACATTGAGGAACCTCTGGTGACCTTGAGGCCACCTTGAGGACCTTCAGGGCACTTCAAGGACCTCCAGGGCACCTCGAGAACCTCAGGTGACCTTGAGGACCTTTAAGTGACCTTGAGGTGACTTTGAAGACCTCCAAGTGACCTTGAGGCCACCTTGAGGACCTCCAGGGCACCTCGAGGACCCTCTGGTGACCTCAAGGGTTCCTCAGATGACCTTGAGGACCTCCAGGTGACCTTGAGGAACCTCTGGTGACCTTGAGGCCACCTTGAGGACCTCCAGGTGACCTTAAAGGTTCCTCAGATGACCTGGATGACCTCCAGGGCACCTTGAAGAACCTCAGGTGACCTTGAGGAACCTCTGGTGACCTTGAGGATCTCCAGGTGACCTCGAGGACCTCCAGGGCACCTTGAGGACCTCTAGGTGACCTCAAGGGTTCCTCAGATGACCTTGAGGTCCTTGAGGCCACCTTGAGGACCTCCAAGTGACCTTGAGGAACCTCAGGTGACCTTGAGGTGACCTTGAGGACCTCCAGGTGACCTCGAGGAACCTCAGGTGACCTTGAGGCCACCTTGAGGACCTCCAGGTAACCTCCAGGACCTTCAGGGCACCCTGAGGAACCTCAGGTGACCTCGAGGACCTCCAGGTGACCTCGAGGACCTCCAGGTGACCTCGAGGACCTCCAGGTGACCTCGAGGACCTTCTCCCACCCCACAGATCGGCATTGACCCACCACGAGGTGTCCTCATGTACGGCCCCCCCGGCTGCGGGAAGACCATGTTGGCCAAGGCCGTGGCCCACCACACCACCGGTGAGCTCCTGGTGGGGCTGGAGGACATCTCAGAGGGTTTGGAGACATCTCAGAGGGGTTTGAGAAGGTTCCTGGTGGTTCTTGGGGTGAGGAACCTTCTGGAGGACCTCAGGATGGAGATCAGGAACATCTCAGAGGGGTTTGGAGACATCTCAGAGGGGTTTGGAGACATCTCAGAGGGGTTTGGAGACATCTCAGAGGGTTTGAGGACATCTCAGAGGGTTTGGAGACATCTCAGAGGGTTTGAGGACATCTTAGAGGGGTTTGGAGACATCTCAGAGGGTTTGGAGACATCTCAGAGGGGTTTGGAGACATCTCAGAGGGTTTGGAGACATCTCAGAGGGTTTGGAGACATCTCAGAGGGGTTTGGAGACATCTCAGAGGGGTTTGGGGACATCTCAGAGGGGTTTGAGAAGGTTCCTGGAGGTTCTTGGGGTGAGGAACCTTCTGGAGAACCTCAGGATGGAGATCAGGAACATCTCAGAGGGTTTGGAGACATCTCACAGGGGTTTGAGGACATCTCAGAGGGGTTTGGAGACATCTCAGAGGGGTTTGGAGACATCTCAGAGGGGTTTGGAGACATCTCAGAGGGTTTGGAGACATCTCAGAGGGGTTTGAGGACATCTCAGAGGGTTTGGAGACATCTCAGAGGGTTTGGAGACATCTCAGAGGGGTTTGGAGACATCTCAGAGGGTTTGGAGACATCTCGGAGGGTTTGGAGACATCTCAGAGGGTTTGGGGACATCTCAGAGGGTTTGGAGACATCTCAGAGGGTTTGGAGACATCTCAGAGGGGTTTGGAGACATCTCAGAGGGTTTGGAGACATCTCAGAGGGTTTGGGGACATCTCAGAGGGTTTGGAGACATCTCAGAGGGTTTGGAGACATCTCAGAGGGGTTTGGAGACATCTCAGAGGGGTTTGGGGACATCTCAGAGGGGTTTGGAGACATCTGAGAGGGGCTTGGAGACATCTCAGAGGGGTTGGAGACATCTCAGAGGGGTTTGGGGACATCTCAGAGGGGTTTGGGGACATCTCAGAGGGGTTGGAGACATCTCAGAGGGGTTTGGAGACATCTCAGAGGGTTTGGGGACATCTCAGAGGGGTTTGGAGACATCTCAGAGGGGTTTGAGAAGGTTCCTGGAGGTTCTTGGGGTGAGGAACCTTCTGGAGAACCTCAGGATGGAGATCAGGAACATCTGGGAGGGGTTTGGAGACATCTCAGAGGGTTTGGGGACATCTCAGAGGGGTTTGGAGACATCTCAGAGGGGTTTGGGGACATCTCAGAGGGTTTGGAGACATCTCAGAGGGGTTTGAGAAGGTTCTTGGTGGTCTCCATGGATTCCTGATGGGATCTGGAGATGTTTTGGGTTCCTGGTGGTCTCCATGGATTCCTGGTGGGATTTTTGGCCACATTTTGGGTTCCTCATGGTCTCCATGGGTTCCTGGTGGGATTTTTGGGATTTCTGGAGAAGTTTTGGGTTCCTCCAGGGGTTCCTGATGTTCTCCATGGGTTCCTGGTGGTCTCCATGGATTTGTGGTGGGATTTTTGGAATTTCTGGAGATGTTTTGGGTTCCTCCACGGGTTCCTGGTGGTCTCCATGTGTTCCTGGTCATCTCCATGGATTTTTGGTGGTCTCCATGGATTCCTGGTGGGATCTGGAGATGTTTTGGGTTCCTCCATGAGTTCCTGGTGGTCTCCATGGATTTGTGGTGGGATTTTTGGGATTTCTGGAGATGTTTTGGGTTCTTGGTGGTCTCCATGGATTCCTGGTGGGATCTGGAGATGTTTTGGGTTCCTCCATGTGTTCTTGGTGGTCTCCATGGATTCCTGGTGGGATTTTTGGCCACATTTTGGGTTCCTGGTGGTCTCCATGGGCTCCTGGTGGTCTCCATGGGTTCTTGGTGGTCTCCATGGGTTCCTGGTGGGATCTGGAGATGTTTTGAGTTCTTCCATGGGTTCCTGGTGGTCTCCATGGATTTGTGGTGGGATCTGGAGATGTTTTGGGTTCCTCATGGGCTCCTGGTGGTCTCCATGGGTTCCTGGTGGGATTTTTGGGACTTCTGGAGATGTTTTGGGTTCCTGGTGGGATCTGGAGATGTTTTGGGTTCCACCATGGGTTCCTGGGGATCTCAATGGGTTCCTGGTGGTCTCCATGGGTTCCTGGTGGGATTTTTGGGACTTCTGGAGATGTTTTGGGTTCCTGGTGATCTCCATGGGTTCCTGGTGGTCTCCATGGATTTGTGGTGGGATTTTTGGGACTTCTGAAGGTTTTTTGGGTTCCTGGTGGTCTCCATGGGTTCCTGGTGGTCTCCTTGGATTCCTGGTGGGATTTTTGGGACTTCTGGAGATGTTTTGGGGTCCTCATGGTCTCCATGGATTTTTGGTGGGATTTTTTTGGGACTTCTGGAGATGTTTTGGGTTCCTGATGTTCTCTATGGGTTCCTGGTGATCTCCATGGATTTGTGGTGGGACTTTTGGGACTTCTGGAGGTTTTTTGGGTTCCTGGTGATCTCCATGGGTTCCTGGTGATCTCCATGGATTTTTGGTGGTCTCCATGAGTTCCTGGTGGGATTTTTTGAATTTCTGGAGATGTTTTGGGTTCCTCCATGGGTTCCTGGTGGTCTCCATGGGTTCCTGGTCTTTTCCATGGATTTTTGGTGGTCTCCATGGATTCGTGGTGGGATCTGGAGATGTTTTGTGTTCCTGGTGGTCTCCATGGGTTCCTGGTGGTCTCCATGGGTTCCTGGTGGGATTTTTGGGACTTCTGGAGATGTTTTGGGTTCCTGGTGCTCTCCATGGATTCCTGGTGGGATCTGGAGATGTTTTGGGTTCCTCCATGGGTTCCTGATGTTCTCCATGGATTCCTGGTGATGTCCATGGATTTGTGGTGGGATTTTTGGAATTTCTGGAGATGTTTTGGTTTCCTCCACGGGTTCCTGGTGGTCTCCATGGGTTCCTGATGTTCTCCATGGGTTCCTGATGATGTCCATGGATTTGTGGTGGGATTTTTTGGGACTTCTGGAGATGTTTTGGGTTCCTCCATGGGTTCCTGGTGGTCTCCATGGGTTCCTGGTGGGATTTTTGGCCACATTTTGGGTTCCTGGTGGTCTCCATGGATTTGTGGTGGGATCTGGAGATGTTTTGGGTTCCTCCATGGGTTCCTGGTGGTCTCCATGGATTTGTGGTGGGATTTTTGGGATTCCTGGACCTCCCCCCGACCTTCTCCTGGTTGTCCTCCAGCCGCCTTCATCCGCGTGGTGGGCTCGGAGTTCGTGCAGAAGTACCTGGGCGAAGGTCCACGGATGGTCCGCGACGTCTTCCGCCTGGCCAAGGAGAACGCGCCGGCCATCATCTTCATCGACGAGATCGACGCCATCGCCACCAAACGCTTCGACGCCCAGACCGGCGGTGAGGACATGGACCTCCAACCTGGGGTGGGGGTGGTCCTGGTGGGACTTTGGGTGGTCCTGGTGGGACTTTGGGTGGTCCTGGTGGGATTTTGGGTGGAATTTTGGGGTTTTTGGTGGAATTTTGGGGGTTTTTGGTGGAATTTGGGCTTGAGGAACCTTCTGGAGAACATCAGGATGGTGAGGAACCTTCTGGAGAACCTCAGGTTGAAGACCAGGGTGGGGTTTGGGTGGTCCTGATGGGATTTTGGGTGGTCCTGGTGGGACTTTAATTGGACCTGGTGGGATTTTGGGTGGTCCTGGGTGGAAGTTGATGGTGAGGAACCTTCTGGAGAACTTCAGGATGGTGAGGAACCTTCTGGAGAACCTCAAGTTGAAGACCAGGGTGGGATTTGGGTGGTCCTGGTGGGATTTTGGGTGGTCCTGGTGGGATTTTGGGTGGTCCTGGTGGGACTTTAGGTGGTCCTGGTGGGATTTTGGGTGGAATTGATGGTGAGGAACCTTCTGGAGAACATCAGGATGGTGAGGAACCTTCTGGAGAACATCAGGATGAAGACCAGGGTGGATTTTGGGTGGTCCTGGTGGGACTTTGGGTGGTCCTGGTGGGATTTTGGGTGAAATTTTGGGGGTTTTTGGTGGAATTTGGGCTTGAGGAACCTTCTGGAGAACATCAGGATGGTGAGGAACCTTCTGGAGAACATCAGGAGGGTGAGGAACCTTCTGGAGAACCTCAAGTTGAAGAGCAGGATGGAGTTTAAGGGGTCCTGGTGGGACTTTGGGTGGTCCTGGTGGGATTTTGGGTGGTCCTGGTGGGATTTTGGGTGGAATTTTGGGGTTTTTGGTGAAATTTGGGCTTGAGGAACCTTCTGGAGAACTTCAGGATGGTGAGGAACCTTCTGGAGAACCTCAAGTTGAAGACCAGGGTGGGGTTTGAGGGGTCCTGGTGGGATTTTGGGTGGTCCTGGTGGGATTTTGGGTGGTCCTGGTGGGACTTTGGGTGGTCCTGGTGGGATTTTGGGTGGTCCTGGTGGGACTTTGGGTGGTCCTGGTGGGACTTTGGGTGGTCCTGGTGGGACTTTGGGTGGCCCTGGTGGGATTTTGGGTGGTCCTGGTGGGACTTTGGGTGGTCCTGGTGGGATTTTGGGTGGTCCTGGTGGGACTTTGGGTGGAAGTTGATGGTGAGGAACCTTCTGGAGAACTTCAGGATGGTGAGGAACCTTCTGGAGAACCTCAAGTTGAAGACCAGGGTGGGGTTTGGGTGGTCCTGGTGGGATTTTGGGGGTTTTTGGTGGAATTTGGGCTTGAGGAACCTTCTGGAGAACTTCATGATGGTGAGGAACCTTCTGAAGAACCTCAAGTTGAAGACCAGGGTGGGGTTTGGGTGGTCCTGGTGGGACTTTGGGTGGTCCTGGTGGGATTTTGGGTGAAATTTGGGGTTTTCGGTGGAATTTGGGCTTGAGGAACCTTCTGGAGAACATCAGGATGGTGAGGAACCTTCTGGAGAACATCAGGATGAAGATCAGGGTGGGATTTTGGGTGGTCCTGGGTGGAATTTGGGGGTTTTTGGTGGAATTTGGGCTTGAGGAACCTTCTGGAGAACATCAGGATGGTGAGGAACCTTCTGGAGAACTTCAGGATGAAGATCAAAATGGGGTTTGGGTGGTCCTGGTGGGATTTTGGGTGGTCCTGGGTGGAAGTTGATGGTGAGGAACCTTCTGGAGAACATCAGGATGATGAGGAACCTTCTGGAGAACTTCAGGTTGAAGATCAAAATCGGGTTTGGGTGGTCCTGGTGGGATTTTGGGTGGTCCTGATGGGATTTTGGGTGGTTTTGGGTGGAAGTTGATGGTGAGGAACCTTCTGGAGAACATCAGGATGGTGAGGAACCTTCTGGAGAACTTCAGGATGAAGACCAGAGTGGGATTTTGGGTGGTCCTGGTGGGATTTTGGGTGGATTTGGGTGGAGGTTGATGGTGAGGAACCTTCTGGAGAACATCAGGATGGTGAGGAACCTTCTGGAGAACTTCAGGTTGAAGATCAAAATGGGGTTTGGGTGGTCCTGGTGGGACTTTGGGTGGTCCTGGTGGGATTTTGGGTGGTCCTGGTGGGATTTTGGGTCGAATTTTGGGGGTTTTTGATGGAATTTGGGTTTGAGGAACCTTCTGGAGAACATCAGGATGGTGAGGAACCTTCTGGAGAACTTCAGGATGAAGATCAGGGTGGGGTTTGGGTGGTCCTGGTGGGACTTTGGGTGGTCCTGGTGGGATTTTGGGTGGAATTTTGGGGGTTTTTGGTGGAATTTGGGTTTGAGGAACCTTCTGGAGAACCTCAGGATGAAGATCGGGGTGGAATTTTGGGATTTTTGGGTGGAATTTTTGGATTTTGGGTGGAATTTTGGGGTCACCTGGATGGAATTTGGGGTTTTGGTGGAATTTTTGGGATTTTTGGTCAAATTTTGGGATTTTTGGTGAAATTTGGGTTTGAGGAACCTTCTGGAGAAGATCTGGGTGGAATTTTGGGGGTTTGGGGTGGAATTTTTGGGTTTTGGGTGGAATTTTGGGGTCACCTGGACGGAATTTGGGGTTTGGGTGGAATTTTTGGGATTTTGGTCAAATTTTGGGGTTTTTGGGCAGAATTTTGGGGTTTTTGGTGAAATTTGGGTTTGAGGAACCATCTGGAGAACATCAGGATGAAGATCTGGGTGGAATTTTGGTGGTTTTGGGTGGAATTTTTGGATTTTGGGAGGAATTTTGGGGTCACCTGGACGGAATTTTTGGGATTTTGGTCAAATTTTGGGTTTTTTTGGGTGAAATTTTGGGGTTTTTGGTGAAATTTGGGTTTGAGGAACCATCTGGAGAACATCAGGATGAAGATCGGGGTGGAATTTTGGGGTTTTTGGGTGGAATTTTTGGGTTTTGGGTGGAATTTTTGGGTTTTGGGTGGAATTTTGGGGTCACCTGGACGAAATTTTTGGGATTTTGGTGGAATTTTGGGGTTTTTTGGGCAAAATTTTGGGATTTTTGGTGAAATTTGGGCTTGAGGAACCTTCTGGAGAACATCAGGATGAAGATCTGGGTGGAATTTTGGGGTTTTTAGGTGAAATTTTTGGGTTTTGGGTGGAATTTTGGGGTCACCTGGATGGAATTTGGGGTTTGGGTGGAATTTTTGAATTTTTGGTGGAATTTTGGGGTTTTTGGTCAAATTTTGGGATTTTTGGTGAAATTTGGGTTTGAGGAACCTTCTGGAGAACCTCAGGATGAAGATCTGGGTGGAATTTTGGGATTTTTGGGTGGAATTTTTGGGTTTTGGGTGGAATTTTGGGGTCACCTGGACGGAATTTTTGGGGTTTGGGTGGAATTTTGGGATTTTTTGGTCAAATTTTGGGATTTTTGGTGAAATTTGGGTTTGAGGAACCATCTGGAGAACATCAGGATGAAGATCTGGGTGGAATTTTGGGGTTTTTGGGTGGAATTTTTGGATTTTGGGTGGAATTTTGGGGTCACCTGGACGGAATTTTGGATTTCCCAAAATTCCCAAATTTTTGAAATTCCCAAAATTCCTAAAATTGCCCAAAATTCCCGTTTTTCTCCCCAAGCCGACCGTGAGGTCCAACGGATCCTCCTGGAGCTGCTGAACCAAATGGACGGATTCGACCAGAACGTCAACGTCAAGGTGGCCCCAAATGTCCCCAAAATGTCCCCAAATGTCCCCAAAATGTCCCCAAAATATCCCCAAAATTCCAAAATGTCCCAAAATGGCCCCAAAATGTCCCCAAAATGGCCCAAAATGGCCCCAAAATGTCCCAAAAATTCCAAAATGTCCCAAAATGGCCCCAAATGTCCCCAAAATGGCCCAAAATGGCCCCAAAATGTCCCAAAATGGCCCCAAATGGCCCCAAAATATCCCAAAAATTCCAAAATGTCCCAAAATGGCCCCAAAATGTCCCAAAATGGCCCCAAAATGGCCCAAAATGTCCCCAAAAATGTCCCAAAAATTCCAAAATGTCCCAAAATGGCCCCAAATGTCCCCAAAAACTCCAAAATGTCCCAAAATGTCACAAAATGGCCCCAAAATGTCCTAAAATGGCCCAAAAATGGCACAAAATGGCCCCAAAATGTCACCAAATGTCCTCAAAAGGCCCCAAATGTCCCAAAATGTCCCAAAATGGCCCCAAAATGTCACAAAAATTCCAAAATGGCCCAAAATGGCCCCAAATGGCCCCAAAATGTCACAAAAATGGCCCCAAAATGGCCCCAAATTGTCACAAAATATCCCAAAAATTCCAAAATGGCCCCAAATGGCCCCAAAATGTCACAAAATGGCCCAAAATGCCCCAAAATGTCCCAAAAATTCCAAAATGTCCCAAAATGGCCCCAAAATGTCCCAAAATGGCCCCAAAATGTCCCAAAATGTCCCAAAATGGCCCCAAATGTACCAAAATGGCCCCAAAATGTCTTAAAATGGCCCCAAAATGTCCCCAATTTTTTTTTTGTTTAATTTTCTTGAGATTTTTTGGGATATTTTGGGGGTTTTTGAGGAATTTTTGGATTTTTGGGGATTTTTTGGGGTTTTTGGGATTTTTTTGAGGTTTTTTTGGGGGGATATTTTTGGGGTTTTTTTGGGAATTTTTTTGGGTTTTTTGAGTTTTCTGGGGGGGAATTTTTGGGGTTTTTTGGGGGGAATTTTTTGGGATTTTTTTTGGGTTTATGGGATTGTTTTGGGCAGTTCGCGATTTTTTTGGGGATTTTTTGGTTTTTTTAAAAATTCTTAGGGGATTTTGTAGATTTTTTGGGGGGGGATTTTTGGGATTTTTTTGAGGTTTTTTTTAATTTTGGGGGATTTTTTTTGGTTTTTATGGGATTTTTTTGGGATTTTTTGGGAGGAATTTTTAGGGTTTTTTGGGATTTTTGGGGATTTTTTTTCAGGGGTTTTTGGGATTTTTTTGAGGTTTTTTTGGGGATTTTTTGCGCGTTTTTTGGGATATTTTTTTGGTTTTTGGGGTTTTTTTGGTGGGATTTTTTTCGGGTTTTTTGGTGGGATTTTTTTCGGGATTTTTGGGTTTTTGGCATCTCAGGTGTGCCAACCCCACCTGTCCGCAGGTGATCATGGCTGGGCACACCTGGATGAGGAAATTTGGGATATTTTGAGTTTTTAATGGTGTTTTAATGTGGATTTTATGGGATTTTTTGGGATTTTTTTTGGGTTTTTTGGGATTTTTTCTGGGTTTTTTGGGATTTTGGCATCTCAGGTGTGCCCAGGTGTGCCAACCCCACCTGCCCGCAGGTGATCATGGCTGGGCACACCTGGATCACCAATTTTGGGATATTTTGAGTTTTTAATGGTGTTTTAATGGGGATTTTTTTATTTTTAGGGTTTTTTTGGTGGGATTTTTTTGGGGTTTTTTGGGTTTTTGGCATCTCAGGTGTGCCAACCTCACCTGTCCGCAGGTGATCATGGCCACCAACCGCGCGGACACGCTGGATCCGGCGCTGCTCCGGCCCGGCCGCCTGCATGAGGAATTTTGGGATTTTTTGGGGTTTTTATGGGGATTTTTTGGGTTTTATGGGTTTTTTGGGGGGTTTTCTTGGAATTTTGGGGATTTTTTGAGGTTTTTTGGGGGGGATTTTTGGGGTTTTTTTTGGGAATTTTGGGGGGGATTTTTTGGGGAATTTTTGGGGGGGATCTTTGGGGTTTTTTTTGGGAATTTTTTGGGTTTTTTGGGGGATTTTGGGGGTTTTTTCGGGGGGATTTTTTGGGGTTTTTTTGGAGAATTTTTGGGGGTTTTTTTGGGAATTTTTGGGGATTTTTTTGGGATTTTGGGGTTTTTTTCGGGGGGATTTTTTGGGGATTTTTTGGGAGAGTTTTTTGGGGATTTTTTTTGGTTTTTGGGATTTTTTTGAGGTTTTTTTGGGGGGATATTTTTGGGGTTTTTTTGGGAATTTTTGGGGCTTTTTTGAGGTTTTTGGGGGGGATTTTTTGGGATTTTTTTTTCAGGGTTTTTTTGGGATTTTGGGGATTTTTGAGTGGTTTTTTGGGGTGTTTTATGGGATTTTAATGGGGTTTTTTTTGTTTTTTGTGATTTTTTTCGGGTTTTTTGGGATTTTTTTGGGATTTTGGCATCCCAGGTGTGCCCAGGTGTGCCAACCCCACCTGCCCGCAGGTGATCATGGCCACCAACCGCGCGGACACGCTGGACCCGGCGCTGCTCCGGCCCGGCCGCCTGGAGGAGGAATTTTGGGGATTTTTTGGGGTTTTTATGGGGATTTTTTGGGTTTTATGGGTTTTTTTGGGGGTTTTCTTGGAATTGTGGGGATTTTTTGAGGTTTTTTGGGGGGGATTTTTTGGGGTTTTTTTTTTGGAATTTTTGGGGATTTTTTGGGGGTTTTTTTGGGAATTTTAGGGGGCATTTTTTGGGAGTTTTTTTTGGGGATTTTTTTTGGGTAGTTTGGGATTTTTGGGGAGGGATTTTTGGGGGTTTTTTTGGGGAATTTTTGGGGATTTTTTTTAGTTTTATGGGAAATTTTTGGGTTTTTTGGGGCAGTTTGGGATTTTTTGGGGGGGGATTCTATGGGATTTCTTGAAATTCTTGGGGGATTTTGGAGATTTTTTGGGGGGATTTTTGGGGATTTTTTTTCAGGGATTTTTTGGGATTGTGGGGTTTTTTTGGGGATTTTTTAGGGGTTTTTTTTGGTTTTATGGGATTTTTTTGGGATTTTTTGGGAGAAATTTTTGGGGTTTTTTGGGATTTTTAGGGATTTTTTTTCAGGGTTTTTTTGGGATTTTTTTTGAGGGTTTTTTGGGGATTTTTTGCGGGTTTTTTGGGCTATTTTTTTTTGGTTTTTAGGTTTTTTTTGGTGGGATTTTTTTCGGGTTTTTTGGGGTTTTTTGGGTTTTTGGCATCTCAGGTGTGCCCAGGTGTGCCAACCCCACCTGCCCGCAGGTGATCATG